TTCTGATCTGTTTTAGCAGAGGACTTTAGAGCCCGAATGGCTCAATGGTTGGACTTGGTGATCTTGAAGGTCCCTTCCAACCTAAGGGATTCTATGATTCTATGATTTCCTGGGGTGGGGGACAGGGGACAGCACAAGCTCTGGGGCAGCTCTGCAGGGAAAGGCTTGGAGCAGGCAGGATGAGGGGGCTAGCTGGCTGGTGGCTCGCACCACGGATGGGGTTATCATAGAGTCATTGACTGGTTTGGGTTGGAAAAGATCTTTCAAGTCCATCCAGCCCAACCCCCCTGCAGGGAGCAGAGACATCTGCAGCTAGAGCAGGTTGCTCAGAGCCTTGTCCATCCTGACCTGGAATGGTTCCAGGGATGGGGCAGCGACCACCTCTCTGGGCAACCGGGGACAGGGGCTCACCACCCTCAGTGTCAACAGTTTCTTCCTTCTCCTTTTAGTTTTAGTCTCAATCTCCTTTTAGTTTAAACCCATCCCCCCTTGTCCAGTCATTGCAACAGGCCCCGTTCAAGACCCTTTGTCACCATCTTTCTGATAGGATCATAAATGGTTTTGGTTGGGAGGGACCTTAAAGATTATCTATTTCCAACTCTCTGCCATGGGCAGGGACGCCTCCCTCTAGACCAGGTTGCTCAAAGCCCCATCCAGTCTGGCCTTGAACACATCCAGAGATGGAGCATCCACAGCTTCCCTGGGCAACCTGTGCCAGTGTCTCACCACACTCACAGTGAAGAACTTCCTTACATCTAATCTAAATCTCCCTCTTCCAGTTTCAGCCCATTATCCCTTGTCCTATCACTACAATCCCTTGTGAAATGTCCCTCCCCAGCTTTCTTAAAGGCCCCTTTCAGATACAGGAAGGCCACCAGATCTCCATGGAGCCTTCTTTCCAGCCTGAACAACCCCAGCTCAGTGGGGTTTCGGCCCTTGGATCATCTTCGTCGCTTCCTCTGGCCCTGCTGATACAGGTCTATAGGCCCCTGTAGTTACTGAAAGGCTGCAGTAAGGTCTTCCTGGAGCCTTCTCTTCTCCAGAGTGGTGGCAGGGGTCTTTGTGTCCCCTGTCCTGCCTGCCAGGGCCAGCTGTGACGCTGGCTCTGGGTGTCTGCGTGGTGGCATCAGCCGAGCTCTGCTGCCCAGCATTCTGCTGCTGGTGGCCACGTGCAGCGAGCTCTGCGGCGTCCCGGAGCACCTCCCACAGCAGCACCCCGTGCCGGCAGTCCAGGGCCGCCCTCTGCTCCTCAGCCAGGTGCTGGTGGTCCCAAAGCGCCTGTGGGGATGCCGGGGGCTGCCTGGCACAGCCCTGGCAGCCTGGAGCCTCATGCCACAGCCCTCGCCACCCACCTGCAGCAGGTCCTGTCTGCAGCCCTGCATCTCCTGCTGGTGGCTCTGCAGGAAGACCTCCAGGTCCTGCCCTGCCCTGCTGCCCCCGGGCTCGGCCCCGACGCAGCCGCATCCCGTCGGCAGCGAGCCGTGTCCCACTGCGGGGCACAGGGATGAGGACGTGAGAGCTCTGGGGTGTCTCTGCTCCCCAGGAGAGCAGCGGCGAGGAAGGAGGAGAGCCTGGAGCCCATGGTGATGGGCTCTGTCCCTGTGCCCACCTCCCTGTCCACCTCCTGCCCAGACACTGCCCTGTCACTCAGCTCTTGCTGGAGGAGACGGTGGGGCCGGGCCCACAGCCCCCAATTCT